CTTGTGGCGGGCATCCAGTGCAACCTATCCACGCCGCCCTGCATGCCTCATTGCAGAAAGCACTGGCACCGTTCCGTGCATCGCACACAAGCACCTCTCCCCATCCGACTGAGACTTCCCCCAATCTGCAGCACTGCTCTGGTGCAGCTGCGCCACTTCCGGGTGCTCAACGGCGAGACGCGGACGCGGACCTTCTGGTGCAGCCGCCCAGCCCTGGACTCCAGCGTGACATTGCACGGGCTGGGCCAAGCCACGTCGACCACCGTTCGCCGGTCGTCCCGCAGCACCATGACCGTGAGGCGCGCCTCGCTCACCTGTGCACTTAGGACCGGTCTGAGATGTGAGCTGCAACAATTAAAACACCGGCAAAGTCCTGACCTCAGTCACCACCGCATAATTCAAGCGTCAATTGGTAGCACGACGAGGTCGCCCACCTCATAGCCTTCTACTTCTTGCCCCTCCTCCGTCGTGCCCTGCATCGCTTGGAGCAATTTGGTGAGCTCCACCGCCTCCGCCATGGCCTCCTCCATCGTTTGTGGCTTCTTGCGCTCTGCAAGCAGCTTTTCAAGAGCCTCGTCCTTTGTCGGCAGGATTTCTGGCCTCGCCGGCCGCTCCTGCCCCTCCTGGCTCTCCTGGCTCTCCTGGCGCTGCTCCTCCAACCGCGTGCACTGGAACGGATTTGCTTGAGCATCCGCCTGCGGTGTGGCATCTGATGTCCTCCTCCACGCAAGGCTCACGCCTTGAAAGTCAAACTGAACATATAGAGTGAAGACGATTCAGACCATCTGTGGAAACTCTGCTCGAGCAGCCACTCCCATTACCCAAGTCCAGTTTCAAGTTGCTTTCTCCTCCGCTGATGTCTGTAAACAGGCTGGGCATGCGAGTGAAAGCGGAAGGGGCGACACTGCAACGCAACATTTCGAAGAGCTTGTGACTTCGGCAACCTGCCGCTTGGCAATCAAAAGGCACCAGTGAGGCCGGTGCCCGGAGGAGCTTCAACCATCTCGGATTGCACAATGCCTGGGCAATGCAGCGGCTGTTACTTTTGCCAAGAAGTCGCAAGAGTCTCATCAGTTGCTCTGCAGTTCCATCTCCGGATCTTGTTTTTGATGTTCACACACAGCCAACGAAGAGGAGACTTTCCGAATGTAAACAAGTTTGCCTGGCTCATTTCAGCAAAGTGTTCTCGAACATATCGTGAAGACCTGAACTTGTAAGTTCGGTTGACAACACGACGCTGGTGCTAGTTGCGGGGGTTCTTCTCTGCACGTCTCACGCACGCCACAAGAGCTCAGATTCGATTGCACTGATTACACATGCTCACAGGCTGTGTGATGGATCTGTGAAAGTGTATGCTGAGGCTCGCGCGGCCTCCGGTTTGCTCTGCCGATCTCTGCCGACAGAAAGCAGGGTCATCTTCGTGGAGCCTCTCGAAGCCTCGGTGTTCAGCTTGCAGCTGCGGTGCAGGGCAAGCCGCAATCGCCCTGCTGGGCAGCTGGGCCTCGCTACAGCTACGAGGTCTTCGACGGAGAAATGCACAGACCTCATGCATGGACTCGCAAAGGCAGAACCCTCTTTCAAGGGAAGCTACGGCAGCTACGGGTCTCGGCCCCTGGCGTTGACCACGAGCTCCACCTCCTCGCCCCTGCTCATGGAGGCAGAGTCAGAAGTATGATGCGAGGGGAGAGCAAAACCATAGCGTGGCATGCGGCAGCCTCTGAACGAAGAGCGGAAACTCCTTGTGGCGGGCATCCAGCGCAACCTGTCCACGCCGCCCTGCATGCCTCATGGCAGAAAGCACTGGCACCGTTCCGTGCATCGCACACAAGCATGCACGGGCTGGGCCAAGCCACATCGACCACCGTTTGCCGGTCGTCCCGCAGCACCATGACCGTGAGGGGCGCCTCGCTCACCTGCGCACTTAGGACCGGTCTGAGATGTGAGCTGCAACAGCAAAACACCGGCAGAGTCCTGGCCTCTGTCACCACTGCATGATTCAAACGCCATTGGCTCACCCTCTCGCCTATAGCACGACGAGGTCGCCCACCTCATAGCCTTCTACTTCTTGCCATTCCACCGTCGTGCCCTGCATCGCTTGGAGCAATTTGGTGAGCTCCACCACCTCCGCCATGCCTCCTCCAACGTTTGTGCGATTCGTGCGCTCTGCAAGCAGCTTTTCAAGAGCCTCCTCCTTTGTCGGCAGGATTTCGAGCCTCGCTGGCCGCTCCTGCCCCTCCTGGCGCTCCTGGCGCTCCTCCCCCAACCGCTCGCGCAAGCCGCAGCAAACGCCGCCCATGACCACACAAGAGCGTGCACCGGATTTGCTTGAGCATCCGCCTGCGGTGTGGCATCTGATGTCCTCCTCCACGCAAGGCTCACATCTTGAAAGTCAAACTGAACATATAGAGTGAAGACGATTCAGACCATCTGTGGAAACTCTCCTTGAGCAGCCACTCCCATTCCCCAAGTCCAGTTTCAAGTTGCTTTCTCCTCCGCTGATGTCTGTGGACAGGCTGGGCATGCGAGTGAAAGCGGAGGGGGTGACACTGCAACGCAACATGTCGAAAAGCTTGTGCCTTTGGCAACCTGCCGCTTGGCAATCAAAAGCTCCCAGTGAGGCCGGTGCCCGGAGGAGCTTCAACCATCTCGGATTGCACAATGCCTGGGCAATGCAGCGGTTGTTACTTTTGCCAAGAAGTCGCAAGAGTCTCATCAGTTGCTCTGCAGTTCCATCTCCGGATCTTGTCTTTGATGTTCACACACAGCCAACGAAGAGGAGACTTTCCGAATGTAAACAAGTTTGCCTGGCTCATTTCAGCAAAGTGTTCTCGAACATATCGTGAAGACCTGAACTTGTAAGTTCGGTTGACAACACGATGCTGGCGCTAGTTGCAGGGGTTCTTCTCTGCACGTCTCATGCGCGCAACAAGAGCTTAGGTTCGATTGCACTGATGACACATGCTCACAGGCTGTGTGATGTATCTGTGAAAGTGTATGCTGAGGCTCGTGCGGCCTCCGGCTTGCTCTGCCGATCTCTGCCGACAGAAAGCGGGGTCATCTTCCTGTAGCTTCTCGAAGCCGCGGCGCTTAGCTTGCAGCTGCGGTGAAGGGCAAGCCGCAATCGCCCTACTGGGCAGCTGGGCCTCGCTACAGCACTGCGCCTCACACAGAACTCCCACAAGAATCTGAGCATCGAGCTCTACGAGGTCTTCGACGGAGAAATGCACAGACCTCATGCACGGACTCGCAGAGGGAGAACCCTCTTTCAAGGGAAGCTACGGCAGCTACGGGTCTCGGCCCCTGGCTCACTTGCGGAGAACTCGACGTTGACCACGAGCTCCACCTCCTCCCCCCTGCTCATGGAGGCCGAGTCAGAAGTATGATGCGGGGGGAGAGCAAAACCCTATGCAGCCTCTGAACGAAGAGCGGAAACTCCTTGTGGCGGGCATCCAGTGCAACCTGTCCACGCCGCCCTGCATGCCTCGTTGCAGAGTGCCCGGACACCGTTCCGTGCATCTCACACAAGCACCTGCAGTCAGCTTTGCTCTCCCATCCGACTGAGACTTCCCCCAATCTGCAGCACTGCTCTGGTGCAGCTGCGCCACTTCCCGGTGCTCAACTTTCAACTGTTAGACGCGGACCCTTTCTGACGCTGCCGCCCAGCCCTGGACTCCAGCGTGACATTGCCCATGACCGTGAGGCGCGCCTCGCTCACCTGCGCACTTAGGACCGGTCTGAGATGTGAGCTGCAGTAGCAAAACACCGGCAAAGTCCTGGCCTCTGTCACCACCACATAATTCAAGCGCCAATTGGCTCACCCTCTCGCCTAGCACGACGAGGTCGCCCACCTCATACCCTTCTACTTCTTGCCCCTCCTCCGTCGTGCCCTACATCGCTTGGAGCAATTTTTGGTGAGCTCCACCGCCTCCGCCATGGCCTCCTCCTTTGTCGGCAGGATTTCTGGCCTGGCCGCTCCTGGCGCTCCTGGCGCTCGTCCTTAACCGCTCGCACAAGCCGCAGCAAACGCCGCCCATGACCACACACACACACACACACACAAGAGCGCGCACTGGAACGGATTTGTTTGGGCATCCGCCTGCGGTGTGGCATCTGATGTCCTCCTCCGCGCAAGGCTCACGTCTTGAAAGTCAAACTGTATAGAGTATAGAGTGAAGACGACTCAGACCATCTGTAGAAACTCTGCTTGAGCAGCCACTCCCATTCCCCAAGTCCAGTTTCCAGTTGCTTTCTCCTCTGCTGATGTCTGTAAACAGGCTGGGCATGCGAGTGAAAGCGGAAGGGGTGACACTGCGTCGCGACATTTCGAAGAGGTTGTGCCTTTGGCAACCTGCTGCTTGGCAATCAAAAGCTCCCAGTGAGGCCGGTGCCCGGAAGAGCTTCAACCATCTCGGATTGCACAATGTCTGGGCAATGCAGATGTTGTTACTTCTGCCCAGAAGTCGCAAGGCTGTGTAATGCGGCCTCCGGCTTGCTCTGCCGATCTCTGCCGACAGAAAGCGGGGTCATCTTCCTGTAGCCTCTCGAAGCCTCGGTGCTCAGCTTGCAGCTGCGGTGAAGGGCAAGCAGCAATCGCCCTACTGGGCAGCTGGGCCTCGCTACAGCACTGCCTCACACAGAACTCCCACAAGAATCTGAGCATCGAGCTCTACGAGGTCTTCGACCGGGAAATGCACAGACCTCATGCACGGACTCGCAGAGGGAGAACCCTCTTTCAAGGGAAGCTACGGCAACGGGTCTCGGCCCCTGGCTCACTTGCGGAGAACTCGACGTTGACCACGAGCTCCACCTCCTCGCCCCTGCTCATGGAGGTCGAGTCAGAAGTATGATGCGTGGGAAGAACAAAACCCTATCGTGGCATGCGGCAGCCTCTGAACGAAGGGCGGAAACTCCTTGTGGCGGGCATCCAGTGCAACCTGTCCACGCCGCCCTGCATGCCTCGTTGCAGAAAGCACTGACACCGTTCCGTGCATCTCACACAAGCACCTGCAGTCAGCTTTGCTCTCCCCATCCGACTGGGACTTCCCCCAATCTGCAGCACTGCTCTGGTGCAGCTGCACCACTTCCCGGTGCTCAACTGCGAGACGCGGACCTTCTGATGCAGCCACCCAGCCCTGGACTCCAGCGTGACATTGCACGGGCTGGGCCAAGCCACGTCGACCACCGTTCGCCGGTCGTCCCGCAGCACCGTGAGGCGCTGCTCGGCTCACCTGCGCACTTAGGACCGGTCTGAGATGTGGGGACAGTGCTCGAGACATGGCGGAA